TCCCCATCGTCCTATGCGGCACGTCAGGACCCGTCTGCCCCCTTCGTCGGGGAACTGGAACTCATCCCCAAAAACGAAACATAAAGACACACCAAGAAACACACACACACACACACGATCCCCAACGCCTGAATTTCGAAGCCAGAAAAAATCGCCGGTTCCTTTTTCGCCTCACAAGAAAAGAACCACCTTTTTTTCAGAAACCGTTTGGGCCGCAACGAGATTTCTCGGAGACGCCTCTCTGGCGGGGAAGAGCTTGATCAGCGTCCACCAGGAAGCCACGGTACTCAGCACCGCCACAGGGCCCGACATGAAGATCCAACTCCAAAGCGTGAGCCTCGCGACTCGCTCCGAAGCGGTTTTTTTGGGTCGGTAACCCATGGGCATGGCGCGTCATCAAGCAGGGACCCCCCCCCGCCCAAAAAAGACAGCAATAAACTTTGCGCGCAACGTTCTCGGTTGCTTGAAAAAGAGGGCACCCCGCCTCAGAAAGACACCCAGATGGGACACCTCCAAAAAACCTGTTGGTGGTCAAATCAACTTGCTGGTGCTCAGTGGGGAATATTGGCATGAACCCAGGGCCCCCCTTAAAGGAACCCACAAGGGATGGCTAAGGGTCATTCCAATTCTCACTCCCTGCCTATCGCGCCAGCAACCCAGAAACAAAAAAAAAGATCCAGTTTTTGAGAAAAGGACTATGGTTGAAAAGAATGGGCCAGAGGAATCAACCCCTAGCGTGGCCCGGAAAATGGTCAAGAAGCCACAAATCCAGCTCCGAGGAGCTTGTGGTCAAAGTCACGAAGCAAGCCTCGCCCGGTTTCGCCCGAACCGGTCAGACATCTTCAGGGGAGCCCCCAAAATAGGTGGTGTTCCTTTCGGTGTCCCTTTAAACAAACCCCAAGAAAGGGTGCCCGCAGAAAAAACAATGGATAGACCCAAGCGCAAATGCCAACTGTTTCAATCTGGGCATGAGTGCTTTCAGAGCAGAACAAAGCTCCGCAAGATCATTACCTGCAATGAATTTTCTGCATAGTGCTCAGTTGGGCACCTGACAGTTCTGTCCGTGTGGACTGTGTATCTGTGTGTTCACACCAGAACCTCGTTCCTCGTGAAATGTCGCTTGATTCAGATCAACATTGATCATTCCCATCCGTTCGTGGGATGCGCCATTGCCATTGCCATTGCCAAGCCCTCTCGAGCTGCCGTACTACTTGTTTGGATGTGAATGCAGCAACCATTGCATCCCATCCCCAAAATCACAGGTAACCAACCTTGGACGGGCATATTCCCTCACATGTTTTCTAGATCGCAACAAAAAGCAACCGGGCACAGCCCAATGAACAAAGTCTGCCTTCTGCTTTCACACGAAGACCCCGCAGAACAAACATAGGTGCGTGTGATATGTCTAACCCGAGTCGAGGGAGGCCCCAAAAAAGAAACGCGAGCCACAATAAAAACCTCCGAAGAGGCGCATTTTTGAGGCTGATGTCACTCGGTGACCCCAACTTCAAAGCCAGGTTTCCTTAGCTTTCCAAACGGGTGTGTCTATTTTAGGATTCGGACCCTCCAAGATAGATGTCGGTGGTCCTTCTGGTTTCCCCTTGAAGACCCAAATAAGGGGAACCAACTCCCCAAAAAGGAACCACACCCAAAGAAGTTGCTTGCGCCCCTCCTTTGCCCCATCCGATAATAACTCGCCGGTGCTCAGTAAGGACTGAGCAATGGAACGAACCGTTTGGGGATGCCCTCAGAAAAAGAAACCACATCAGCACGGGATGGTTTTTTTTCTCGGGGGCTCAGACTCCCTTCAATTCTCCGTCCCTGCCCATCCGCGCCTATCGCAAGATCAACGGGCCCTGGGCCCCTGGGCCCCCTTCATTATAAAGGAAACCACCAGCAAGGGATGGGTTTTTCTTTCGGCATCAGGTCATCCCTCCAATTCTCATTCCCTGCCCATCGCGCCAGCAAGATCACCACCAGCAAGGGATGGCTTTTTTGGGGGGGTTCAGACTCCCTTCCTGTCTCATTCCCTGGCTTTTTTTCGCTCAAACGGCCAAACGCCCTCCGGGGTCCTGGGCCCCCCGGCTGATGGTGATCAGCGTGGTGGTGGAGCTGATGGGCAGCAGCACGCTGCCCGCGTTGGCGCCAAAGGCCACGCCCAGCAGCAGACGCTTCACCACCGGCACCTCCACGTCCAAGCCTTCCCGGGAGTCCGAGGTCCGACGGTCCGACGGCGGGTGGCGCGAATGGGGCGCCGGCTCGCCCGACTCATTTGGCTCGTGTCGGGAACAGATGCGTCCAAGGTGCAGGTCAATCAATCAATGATTTTCTTCCGAACCTTCTTTTTGGAACGCTGCAACGGCCACCCAAGCTTTAGACAGTCACCCCCACGAAAAGCGGCAAGCAGAAGCTCATGCCAAAATGGACCATACCAAAACGAACAGCCTGAGTTTGCAGCTAGCGTGGTGCAATCCATGTAGGTCATTTTTGAATAAGGATCAGTGTGTGCCCGAGGGCCCTCAAAGAATCAGCTGTCCTTTCTAAGAGGGGCCTCAACGTGCACTCCCAGGGCACTGTATGTAGGTATGTGTTTGTGTATAATAGGTATATATACACTTTCCATGAATACACATGTACTTTATCTGTGGGTGTGTGTCTGTGTGTGTGTGTTTGCATGTGGGTGCTTTTTGGGGGTTGATCACAAGGTCCTTCATGGGATGACCATCAGGAAAACCACACACAAAATGATTCTCACCGCTGAAGGGGAAAAGTTACCCATGGTCATTTTGGGGCCAGGAATATTGATCAACCCCACGTGAAAAGGGCCCGGTTTAGGGATCACGAGAAACTAAAAGGAACAACCTAGCGGTTTGGAGGGGGCATTTCGGACACAGTGACACAACTCGAGCAGATGAACAGGGAACTGCGCCAACATGACCGGCCCTTTCTATCCACGTTCGAGAGGCGTCTTTTTTTCGTGGCCCCCGCAACATGGGAGGGGGCTCTTCTTCTTTTCGGTCTTTCGGCCTTCCTTAAAAAAAAGGACACGCGGCGCCCTCACCCGAAAAAAAAAAAAAAAACGAATCCCGACCCGCCCACCGAGGAAGCCGCCGCCGCCCGAACTTCGGCCCCCCGCTCGAACCGACCGCCCGGGCCTCTGGGCGCCAGCAGCGGCTTCAGCGCGGCCAGGACCACGATGGACCCGGAGCACAGCCTCCGCTCGGAGCCGCTTTCGGCGGTGGCATGGCGGGTGGGGGACCAACGGGTCTCCCAGTGGACCGAATGAGACGTGGGATGGAGGGATGAACCCGAAAAGATGGGGCGCCCCACCAGCCCGCCAGAATGATGGGATGGAAGAACCCGAAGAAAAAGAGAAACAGAAAAAAAGAAAAGGATGCGCACCACCAAACCGGGAGAATGACACTTGGATGGAAAGCCACAAAGGTGTCCTTTGATGCTCCCCGTGAAATCGGAGAACAGCTAGGCAAGGCTGTTTGGGCGCCATGGATCAACCCCCAGGTGAGCCATGGCCGAAACTTCGTTTCCATGACCCAGGACGTCAGCCGTTCACTCGAATCATTGTAACCATCAAGGATCCTTATCAAGTGAAGGACCATTCCAACCGTGAACTCCAAGTGAAGGAACCGGTCTTCTGACCACGTGTGTATACATTCATACAATAATACGTGTATATATATATATATACAACATTGTGTTCCACACCCTGTCCACTAACATGAACCTGGCTGAGGGCTCCAAGACTATTTCCCTTTGGGGCCCTCTCGTGGGTTTCATGTTTGTGGACACGAGGGTGTATATATATATATACACCTGTGCGTGTTTATGCCTGGAAGGAGCCTGTGCATACATGTCTGTATATATGATGTTGGAGGGTTGCGGGCGTGGGGGCACTGCTGATTATGGTGTTAGTTTGGCTTTGTTGAATTTTATTTTGATTGGGTTAAACAACATGTGGACGTTGGCTGGTGGCTCAGGCTTGGAATAGGATTGCTTGGCTCAGGGATAGAATTGGCTTAGCTGAGGAAGAAAAAAAACATAGTTGCCACGAGTGCTCGCTTGCGCGGGGCGATTCGATTTCTCCCCATCGCTCAAAGCGCCCCAGCCGGGGCTCTTGGGCCCCCAAGAACCGCCTTTTGGGCCAAGGGGCACGGAGCAGGCGGCCATGGTGCAGAGCATAATCACCAGAAGGAACGTCCTCAGGTCAAAGAGAGAATTGATGCTGCATGACTGGATGCATGGCCGCGTCTTCATTGCAAGAGGTAAGCAAGCATGCCGCCACCTAAGTAGTTAATCCTGGACTTATCCTCCGCTTAGGGATGCTGCCCAATTGCCCATGTCATGACTCACCGCATTGTGCAAGCACAGTGCGATGGAATCACTTTCCGTCACCCGTCTGGCCACATAAGGAGAGATGAGAGTTGTTTTGCTGGACTGGCCTCACAACTGTTTGCTAAAAATAATCAAACCGGTTCTAAGCAACTTGAGTTTCAGCCGTACCATCCCATCGACCTGCAAGGAGAACATGTGGATCACATGCACGTGGTCCAAAGAAGTTCGGTGAGAAGCCGGGAGCAAGTTGGGGTCAAAGCCGTGGCTCCACAAAATCCAGATAGCGCCGGGTGGTTGGTGCCATGACTATAGTAGCTCACTTGCCCAAAGGACCTGGGAATAAAAGGTTAACCTTTTGGGACCTCTACTAAAAATGGACCAAAAAGGGACAAACCAAAAGGTCAAAAGGTCGGCTTTGAACAACTGAGATAGGTTTACAGGGGCAGGATTTTGTCCATCCACAGTAAGCATCGACTTCCTGGGCCATTTCAAAGAACCGAAGGACCCCCCCCTAACCCAGCGGCAGCGGATCTCAAGCAGTGTCAGTCGCCATGTGACGATCAAATGCACTCAGTAGCCCAGCCTCACTTTGAGGTCCTCCAATTCAGTCAGCACTTTTTGGCCCAAGGAGGACTGAGCTTGCAAAGCCGCGTCCGTGCACTCATCAGAGTTTGTATGGCGCGTGCTGCCTTTGGTGATGGATTGATCTCTGTTCAGATCTTCTTTTTTGGCAGCCTCTGCAATCAACTCCATCTCACTGCGGGAGATCAGACCTCCAAAGAGAAAGTCGAAGATACCGCCAATCTGCAGGTCGAAGCTTGCGGATGACTCTGTGAGGTTCTCGTACCGCACGTGGTACAAGCCATCCTTGTCCGCAAAGAGCGTTGTCATATCATCCAAGAGTGGAAGCATGTCTGGCCAAAGTGTCATCATGCCCTCAACAGGTCCCATCGACAACATCTCCGGCAAATGACTCAACGGATTATCGGGTTCTTCTCCTCGATGGTGATAGCAGTATGCAGAGGCCAGCATGCGTGCAGGATCACGCACAATGTGAATGCCACGGGCAGAGCCGTTGCCCCTTGCCCTTGCCGCGTTAAAGCTGTCCAGCGAACCATGGCAGTCCCACAGGATGTTGCAATCCGGGACCTCTGGGCAGTAATGCGCGTGTCCGACAGAAGTTACGAAGGATCCCGGCAACGGTGCGGGCAGTGTGTGGCAACTGTAGCCTGCACCCAGGCCATCGAATGCGTGGCGCATGACGTTCCTTAGCAGGTGGGAACCTGCCTTGTGATGCACGCCTACCCAGTAAACATGATCATCCCAAGGCTTTCTTCTCTGAAGCCCTGTCTGCGTCTGCAACAGGAGTACCTCGCACTCATCTGCGGCGATACCGATGGCCAAAATCGACAGCACATTGATTCGCAACATTGCGGAAAGCAAAACATGTAGGGTTCGGTCAAGCTTGTAGCCAAAAGCATGGCTGCGATGCGCAAGCCTTTGTTCACATACGCTGGCCGTGTAGCGGCGTGCCCGCTCCCCGTTCTTTCTTGACATGCTTCTGTGCGGATTGGGGGGTTCTGAGAAAAGAGGTGGGACGGGTAACTCTAGGGGCTGATTCCCCATTCTTTTCAACCATCGTTATTTTCAATAACCAACCGCTTTTCTGGAGGTTTTCTAGAAGGAAGAATCCTTGGAAAGACCCACCCCCCACCCCACCCGAGAGACTCCAGAAGACGGAACTGTCAGGTCTCCATGCCTTTGTCGGTTATTTTTTTTGGGCTCGAACCCTCCAAAGGGGATCCCTTCAATCTACCCTTTAAAATCTAACCACAAGGCAGGTGCCCTCAAATAAAAAATAAACGACAACCCCGAAGAATTAGGACTACAATCTCAAAAGAGAGATGAAGAATTGCTTTCTCAAACCACTGAAGCGCCCTGCGCCCAAAGCTGTGCAACGGTATGCCGATACATCCTCGCAGTCGTGGCGGTCAAGCTTCTTTTCAAGTTCGCTAAAGAACCCACTTCCAGCTAGACCCCACTGCTAGCCGCATACTTGCATTGGAATGGCCGCTACCGACCCAAACCGCCCAGACCGAAGACGTCGCTTGCCGAGGATCTTGCTTTCCAGGCGCCAGCGCCTCAGCAGCAGCGCGGTGAGCGCGTCCAGGGCGCCGCACTTGGCGAAGATGGCGTTGATCACCAAACTCCCCAAAACCTCAGCCATCGCTGCTTTCAAAGAGTCATTTTGCCCGCAGCCCCCCCCAGCCTCCCATGCCCCAACTCACGAGAAAAATCAAGACATTGGCTTGATCGAAGTTGCACCCTATCGAATCCTCACGCCCTCAGCTCTCTGTCTTAAGTCGTTCCGGACCCAGTGGATTCCAATTGCCCTTCTAGTAGAGGTAACCCTTTGCCAATGTTCCCTCTGGGTTGTTTGAAGGGTTCCCTTGGCCACCAAGCCCAAGCTCGCCACGCATTCTTTTCAAAACAAAAAAAGAGCTCTCCACGACGCCAGGGGCATAGTTTTATGTTGCCCAGAAACCAAAACTAGACCACGGTTGGCCCGAAAGCAGAACATCGCAAGCGAGGTCGGCCCAACGCTGCAGGATGCTTTCTTTTTCCCTACACTTCGTGAAGCAAGCGCGAGACAGCACCAGGCAAGGTGCTCTGCGCAAACTGGTCGGTGCAAGTTGGTCTGCGCAAGTTGCTCTACGCAAGTTGCACTGTGCAAGTTGCTCTGCGCAAGTTGCTCCGCGCAAGTTGCTCCGGCAAGTTGGTCCCTGCAAGTTGCTCTGTGCAAATTGCGCTCCCTGCAAGTTGCTCTGTGCAAGCTGCTCTGTGCAAGTTGCTCTGTGCAAGTTGCTCTGCGTAAGTTGCTCTGCGCAAGTTGCTCTAGGCAAGGCGCTCTGCGCAAACTGGTCGGTGCAAGTTGGTCTGCGCAAGTTGCTCTGCGCAAGTTGCTCTAGGCAAGGCGCTCTGCGCAAACTGGTCGGCGCAAGTTGGTCTGCACAAGTTGCTCTGTGCAAGTTGCTCTGCGCAAGTTGCTTTAAAATGCAAGTTGCATCTTGCGACGCCCGCCCGCGGACCAGGGAGGAATCGAACCCGCGACCCGCCGGCCCGGGAGCAGGCGCGCGAACCACGAGACAACTCCCGAGGACAACAAAAGACGCAAAAAACCTCGAGTTTTTGCACCTCGACCACGCCGATTCCCGCAGAGGGTTGCGCGAGCACCGCAGAAATCGCAAAAAACCATCGGTTTTTGCACCTCGACCACGCCGATCCCCGCAGAGGGTTGCGCGGGCACCGCAGAAATCGCAAAAAACCATGGGTTTTTGCACCTCGACCACGCCGATCCCCGCAGAGGGTCGCGCGGCACCGCAGAAATCGCAAAAAACCATGGGTTTTTGCACCTCGACCACGCCGATCCCCGCAGAGGGTCGCGCGGGCATGTTGGAAATCGGAAAAAAAACCATGGGTTTTTGCACCTCGACCACGCCGATCCCCGCAGAGGGGCGCGCGAGCATGTTAGAAATCGCAAAAACCATGGGTTTTTGCACCTCGACCACGCCGATCCCCGCAGAGGGTCGATTTTCGTGTAGTGTCGTCGGCACTACCCCGCCGCCCTAAGAAGAGATTTTAACTCCTCGCAAGTCAATTGCACTTGACTCCTTGCACTTGCAACTTGCACTCGACTCCTTACACTGCACTTGACTTGCACTTGCAACTTGCACTTGACTCCATGCACTTGCAACTTGCACCTGACTCCTTGCACTTGCAACTTGCACTTGACTCCTTGCACTTGCAACTTGCACTTGACTCCATGCGCAGCTCGCAATGACTCTCATGACTCCTTGCAATGACTCCTTGCAATGACTCCTTGCAATGACTCCTTGCAATGACTCCTTGCAATGACTCCTTGCAATGACTCCTTGCAATGACTCCTTGCAATGACTCCTTGCAATGACTCCTTGCAATGACTCCTTGCAATGACTCCTTGCAGTGACTCCTTGCAATGACTCCTTGCAATGACTCCTTGCAATGACTCCTTGCAATGACTCCTTGCAATGACTCCTTGCAATGACTCCTTGCAATGACTCCTTGCAATGACTCCTTGCATTGACTTTTATGATGATGTTTCCTTGCAATGACACCTTGTAATGACTCTCATGAGAACAACTCAAGTGAACCCAGCGGAAGAACCCTTCGCCATGCTTTCGGGAAAAATATATATTGAGGATCCGAAGCCCACGTTTGAATTGGCCGACCCGCCTGCCGGTCTCTCAGATCAAGGCAACTCCGAGCTTCACGCGCGGCATGCGGAAAGTTCCATCCAAGAGACCAAGAAGGAGGTCTGGTTGAAGAAGCTTCTCAGCAGCAGCGTGGAGGTGGTCATCATGGTCCTTGCATCCCCAAAGACCGCGCAGATCGAGCCCATCACAGGGATGAAGAGCGCCACACAGAAGAGTGGCATCACCTCCGCCCAAAAACAGGAAATCGATGTCAAGCTCTTTGGCTTGAGTCAGAGTTCAACTAGGAACCTTTGGCCAGCAAAAAAGAGCCTTCTGCAAGAAAAGAACCAAAGCCACCTTCTCTTGCAAGGAAATATGAACCTCCGACTTTAAGGCCCTGAAACGGCGCAACAAACATCCCGCAGACTCCTTCGATCTCGGGCCCAGTGCTTTGGGTGTCTTCTCCAAACGCTTTCCGGAGATTCCATGTGCAAACAATTACGGCGGGGTCGTCGTTTGGCCATGAATTCGAAAGTTTTCTCGAAACCCCCTCAAAAATGGATGGACATAACTTTTCACATGAATGCGAATGGTTGGAACCCCCTCAAAAACGGATGGACATAAATCCCCACCTCAATTTTCAAATGTCCACCAGCGGGTCCCCAATTAAGATCCATACCTCCTAGATGGTTGACGGGAAACCAGTTGAAACCCTCGCGCCCAAGGGTCTTGGGATCGACTTCGTCCGTCCCAATCCCCGGAAAGGCGATTTGGGCGTGGTTCCTTTCCTTAGGGGCAACCCCGCAGGGCGCTTTTCGGCGTCTTATGGTTTGTTTCCCTTTAAAAAAAAAACACCAAAAAAGAGTGGTACCAACAAAAAAAAGACACCCCCCATTTAGATGGTACCAACTCAAAAAAAATAAGGACAAAAAAAAACATTTATTCGATTGGACACCATCCTGAAGGGAATCCCGAAGATTCGTTCATGCGGCCGAGAAATTGCAAGAATCTAAACCTCGGAACCTCGGAACCTCTTTGGTCTCAGATGTCTCAGCCCACCTCGAAGAGGCTCAGCGTCAGCACCCCCACCATGATCAGCGCGCAGCGCGCCTGCGGCTCCAAGCCAAAGGTCCGCATGCCTCGAAGTCTCGAAGTCGCGTGGCTGAGGCTCAAAAAACCCAACCCAAGTGGCTGTGGCTGTGGCCGTACCTAAAACGGCTTGCCCTGAGAAGTGGAAACAAAGGCTTCAAAACCTGCGGTTTGCCCCTCCTGTTTCATTCTTGAGCCAAACCCAAGTGGCACAAAAATCAAACGAACAGAGAAGATCGGGGGATCGGAAAGCTCGCATGTGTTTTTGTTTGTTTCCGGCACTTGGAAGCACTTGTTCAAATCCCAGAAAGCCCCAACAAAAAGGGCAGCGTGTTCGTCTGTGCACTGCTTGACCACGCGCGGTCTGCACGCTCTCTGAGTCCTTCAGAGAGCCAGCCCAGTCAGCCTGCCCCTTGTAACCAAGCCGCAGATTGGGAGGAGCACAGCCACTAGGAAGATGGGCGGACCGCGGACCGTGAGGAAATGCCGCAGCCGCAGCCTCGGTCGCACTCCGCAGACTGCGAAGGCCACTGCTCGGTGGCTTTCTGCTCTGCCAAAAGTTTAACTTTTAGTGGTTTAACGGAAAACCCATTAGTTGGCCATGGGTCAAAATCCCGCCCAGTGAACATCCCAATCCCCACCAAAACAGGTTCTAAAATGGGTGGTGCATTCACCCACCAACCAAAATGGGATCCCATTGGTTTTGACCCACAGCCAGTCGGCAAAAACTGAAAGGCCTATCCCTTGGCAAAATGCACCAAAGTTAGGATGTTCGTCAGATTCTCGAAGGCCTAAGGTGCCTCTGAAGTCTATGGGTTCAAGCAAACTGCACTGGTTGGTCAACGCTGAGGCTCCGGCTCCTCGCTCTCCTCCGGCTCGTCCATGCCCGTGAGGCGCAGAATGTCCGCGCGCGGCGTGCCCAGCGCGAGGTGCCTGCCGTCTCTAAAATATGGGTATGGATCAACATTAAACCGGATATGGACCGCAGGTTTTAGTCCGTGTTTCCATTTGCCAGGGCAAGCCATGTTGGGTACCTAATTTTGACAACCACAGCCCCCCCCAAAAAAACAAGGAGCCACGGGGAGAAAACACCGGGAGGCCCTGCCTGGGCGAAGGGGAGAAGCACTCCTTCTCCTCGTCAACATGAACCCGGCGCTCTGTGCGGGCGCCATTGGCGCCACCGCCCTCGGCATCCTCCATCTTGCCAGCGCGCATGGCGCGCCGACTGCAGCTACATTGAAGCCGAAGACGGCTACGAAACGTGGCATGACGGGAAGCAACGCATCTGACGGGCGTGACCGCGAGGCGGTCACAGGCGAATCGGCGAAGCGCTTGCAGCCAAAGGGCCAGGAACGTCAGGAAAGCGCCCCAGAGCGCAACTGGCAGAAGTTGGTTTGAGTCAGACTTTGAGTCAGCGATGCTCAGGATGCGCCACTTCTGCAAAGGCAGCCAAGAACTACTAGCTGCCAACAGCCCAGTGACAAGACCAAGAAACCACGGCCAAGGCATGCATGAGAACATGCTCCAAAAGGTTTCTCAAGATGCCAGCGAAAAGGAATGCTTTCTACTTCTGACTTCGCCGGCCTCGTAAAGTGGCTGGCATGCCAACCTCGCACACAATGGGTGACCCTTCAAAATGCAGGCGTTTGTTCTGGCTTCTCTTTGACCAGCATTCACAGGGCCTTTCGTTATAGTTGCGCCCTACCCTCTTCTACAAAGGCACTGTGGACACTCTCAACATAAATGCAACGAGTATCAAATGGATATGAATCACAGGTAGGGACCAATGTTGGCTCCTATTGAAAAGTACAACGGCATGCAATCCACCCTGTGCATGCCCACTCACAAAAACAAAAAAGCCATCAGCGTCCTAGACGTCTCGCAGCAACCGAATTCCCGGCCTTGGAAATGGAGCTTGACTTTCACAGGACGGTAGGGTCTGACTATCAAAGCCTTGAGGCGGAGCGGCGGAACACACGGCTAGGCCAATTCTACGAGGCGCTGGCAGACAGTGCAGCTACATTCTTTCAAGCCGCATGTTGATCCCATATTAATTAACCCCACTTCATAATGGGGGGGTTTCTTTCAGGCAACTAGTTAGTCATGTTGACCCCATATTAAGTAACCCCAGTTCCTTAATAGGGGGGTGTTCTCCTGCAAAAGTGATGATTCCCCACTAAGCGCCCCTATTACTAAATGGGGGTTGATTCATGTGGGGTCAACACCACAGGAATCAACGAACGGCCCAAGGGAATCTGCAAAACTGCACAAACTGCAAAGCGCAACGCAAGCAAATGCGTCGGCTCCGCCGCTTGACCTGGTCGGAATGCAGCAAAAAGCCGTGTCGAAAGCAGGGCTTCCAAACGCATCCTGGATTTGTTGCAAAAGAACTGCCTCTATGTATATGGCTATGGGTCAAAACCCCGTACCCCCCAGTGAACATCCCAATCCCCACTAAAACAGACTAAAATGGGTACATGCCGCAATCATGGAAGTTGACAGGATCTTTTTGCCACATGGGCGTGTCTTTGCTCTTTGATTATTATATTATTGTGTTTGTTCTGTTTGTTTATTCAAAACGGCTTAGGGACCATATTGAATCCAAACAAACTGCAAGAAATCCGACAACTCCAAGGTTTTCACCGCAAAACTCACTTGCTCCATCCAGAAATCCAAAAAGAACACAATTCGACTTCCCCCCCCCTGCCCCCAGAAGCTTGTCCTCTCCCCTCTCCCCGCTCGCTTCGACTCGCCCATCCCCCGTCCCCCGTCCGCGAGGCCTGCGGCCACAGCGGTGCGCAGCGTCACCTTGGCGGCCTCCGAGGCGGTGCCCAGCTGCGCCAGGCACTGGGCCACCCGCGCCTCAGAGGCGCCCCCCCGAGCTGCGGATCCGGGGGCGGCCGCGGAATTTCGGGGCGTGGGTGAGGTGTGAGGAGTGTCGGTGTGCCGTTTTTGTGTTTTTTTGAGATGAACATGGGCGACTAAGTTTCAGGATCAAAAAAAAGGGGCTAGGCCTTCAATATGCCAAAGTTTACTTGATTGGTGTTTTTGTCGGGGACGGCAGTGTCTCAACAAAGACCAGTCGGGATCGCCTCAAGGGAAGGCAGTGCCTCAAAATGGAAAAAGGGCATCTGATGCTCAAAGGAGGATGTCGCTTCCAGATGAAAAGGGTGGCAGCTGATTTTCTATACTAAACCTACACTAAGCCAAGTCTACACCACCAAGCAAACCATCCTAAACCAATCATGCCAATCAGAAAACCAATCTTAAACCTACCCTGAACCTAACCTCAAGCAAATCCTAACCACCCCTAGGCCCACCCCAAACGAAGCACCCCTTAACCCAGCCCTAAGCCCGCTCTCCGCTTCGCTCCAAGTGGAACTGATGTTGCCTGCGAGGGGCCGCCAAGCTTCAACTAAAAGTGGTCTGGAGTGGGGAAATCTAGCGAGGCCGGGCCCTTTGTGCTTCGAGTCGGAGTCACATGTCCACCACTTCAAATCGTGTTGAGGCACCTGTGTGTGTGTGTGTGTGTGTGTGTGTGTCAGTGCCAAAAGGGGCCTCCCAAGAACATTCTCTCGCTGGTCCTTTTGGTTTCCCTACCCAACCTCTCAAAAAAAAAAGAGGAAAAAGATGCCTCTTCCCAGACACAACTCCTTTCAAAGGTTTCCCTAGCCAACCAAGAAAGAAATCCCGACCCCTTCCCCACTCCCGCCTTCCGAGCCGCCGAGCCGCCGAGCCACCCAGCCCCCGCTGAGCCGCCGGCCACGTCTCCGCACTCCGCGGCGGCTTTCAACGGCGCGGCGGCGCGGGCCCTGCGGGCCGCGAGGCACAGGGCCGGACCCAGAAAATCCCAGCGGGGCGTATTTGTTGTTGCGTGTGTTTGTGTTGTTGTGCTTTGTTTTGTCTTGGGTTGTTGTGTTCGTCTGCCATCCCGGCAGCTTTTGATTGAGAGGCCCCCCCTTGAAGGGAAACCAACAGAAAAGAAACGGACGAGCTCGCCTCTCCCGCAGCGAGTGCACTCGCAGCTCGGCGCTCAAGGAGGACAGCCTCGGTCTCCCAAACGGAGAGGGGAGCTGGCGTCAAGTGGGTCAACTAGGTTTGCCAAACAGGGAGATGGTAAGTCGGGTAGGAGGAAAGTGTGCTCTCTCTGTGAAAAAAAAAAAAAAAACTACCTCAAGCTTGGTACCAGCTGCTCAATGCTCTCAAGTGCCGCATGTTCCTATGCACGCTGCTCCGCGTTGCAGCTCAGACATCCCGAAAGGTAATCCGGGACAATCCTCACAAGAGCCCCATTGCAAAAGGCTGGCTGGCAAGAAGCGCTGTCAGTTCTCAAAAGGCACTGGACACACCTGGCTTCATGCTACAGAAGTCACATGTGACATGCAACACACACTGTACTTCAAGCGCTTGGAAAAGGCATGACATCGCGTCAGCTTAGGCAAACCCTCTACATTGGTCACAGCCAAGTAAACCAGCAAGACTCACTGAGTCTGTCAAGGATGAGTTTGAAACAGCTCTGAGAATCTTCACTGGCCATCACTCATGCTGATCTTTCCATGCTGCTGAGTGCCATATGATAATATTGCAATCACTCGACCGACAGCTTGAATCCCATCATTCAGGCACATGTTGCCCAGTCACCGACCGCAAACGCATCTTCGCGCCCCTTCTTTTCTCCCAGCAGCTTTGGAAATCTCTGAAGGTAACCAGAGCAAGTCATGACAAGCGCCATGACATGACGTCAGGACAAACATGCGTGTCGAACATGCGTGTTCGGAGGTGCAGGCATTCTTTGATGCTCTGTCTGCAGAACGGTGCTCAGTGGCCGCCAGCGTTCAGGCCGCTGCATTGCTTCATGCTGGGACGGCAAGATTTCTTCACACAGCCGGTGCAGGCGGAACTCTTGTCATTGCTGATGCATTGGTTGAGGCATTTGTCGCGAGAGCACTCCACCAAGTGAGCCATGCAGGAAGCACAGCCTGCAGAGTAGCCCTTCTTGCTCATGCAGTCCTTGGTGCATGGAAAGCCTGCTGCGCAGGAGCGCCCGCATTGGTTCAGGGCCCCATCGAAGCCCTTCCTGCCTCCATGCTTCCAAACGCCCAGGTCTTTCGAGTTCGTGCAGGCACCGCCCTCCTCGCCCTCTGTCACAATCTCCTCTTCATCGACCATGTCCTCAGCAGCCTCCGCGTCGTGCAGCTTCACTCCGCGTAGCTGGTTCAGCTCCAGGCTGCAGTCACCATCTGCCGCGCACGCATCGTCCGTCTCCAGAGCCGTGTCCACCTTCTCAGACCTCACCGCTGCGAAAGCAACGAAAGCCAACAAGAGCCTCATGGCCATTGCGAAAGGTTGGCTGGCAGGAAGCGCTGTCAGTTGTCCAGAGGCACTGATTGGCTGGAGCCGAACGACGAGAAAGCAAGAACTGCCACACCTGGCTTCATGATGGATGCAGAAGTCACCTGTGACATGCAACACACACTCTGTACTTCAAGCATATGGGAAAGGCATGACATCGCGGTCACAGCCAAATAAGCCAGCAAGACTCACTGAGTCTGTCAAGGATGAGTTTGAAACAGCTCTGAGAATCTTCACTGACCTTCATTCATTCTGATCTTTCCATGCTGCTGAGTGCCAGATCACAATCACTCAACCAACCAGCTTGAATCCCATCATTCAGGCACATGTTGCCCAGTCACCGACCGCAAATGTATCTTCGCGCCCCTTCTTTTCTCCCAGCAGCTATTGAAATCTCTGAAGGTAACCAGAGCAAGTCATGACAAGCGCCATGACATGACGTCAGGACAAACATGCGTGTCGAACATGCGTGTTCGGAGGTGCAGGCATTCTTTGATGCTCTGTCTGCAGAACGGTGCTCAGTGGCCGCCAGCGTTCAGGCCGCTGCATTGCTTCATGCTGGGACGGCAAGATTTCTTCACACAGCCGGTGCAGGCGGAACTCTTGTCATTGCTGATGCATTGGTTGAGGCATTTGTCGCGAGAGCACTCCACCAAGTGAGCCATGCAGGAAGCACAGCCTGTAGAGTAGCCCTTCTTGCTCATGCAGTCCTTGGTGCATGGAAAGCCTGCTGCGCAGGAGCGCCCGCATTGGTTCAGGGCCCCATCGAAGCCCTTCCTGCCTCCATGCTTCCAAACGCCCAGGTCTTTCGAGTTCGTGCAGGCACCGCCCTCCTCGCCCTCTGTCACAATCTCCTCTTCATCGACCATGTCCTCAGCAGCCTCCGCGTCGTGCAGCTTCACTCCGCGTAGCTGGTTCAGCTCCAGGCTGCAGTCACCATCTGCCGCGCACGCATCGTCCGTCTCCAGAGCCGTGTCCACCTTCTCAGACCTCACCGCTGCGAAAGCAACGAAAGCCAACAAGAGCCTCATGGCCATTGCGAAAGGTTGGCTGGCAGGAAGCGCTGTCAGTTCTCAAGAGGCACTGATTGGCTGGAGCCGAACGACCAGAAAGCCCGTCAGCTTAGGCAAACCCTCTACATGGGTCACAGTTAAAGAGGTAGGTAACATTCGTTGAGTCCGTTAAGGATGAGTTTCAAAACAGTTCTGAGAATCTTTACTGGCCATCACTCATGCTGATCTTTCCATGCTGCTGAGTGCCAGATCACAATCACTCGACCGACAGCTTGAATCCCATCATTCAGGCACATGTTGCCCAGTCACCCACTGCAAATGCATCTTCGCGCTCCTTCCTTTCTCCCCGCAGCTTTGGAAATCTCTGAAGGTAACCAGAGCAAGTCATGACAAGCGCCATGACATGACGTGAGGACAAACATGCGTGTCGAACATGCGTGTTCGGAGGTGCAGGCATTCTTTGATGCTCTGTCTGCAGAACGGTGCTCAGTGACCACCAGCGTTCAGGCCGCTGCATTGCTTCATGCTGGGACGGCAAGATTTCTTCACACAGCCGGTGCAGGCGGAACTCTTGTCATTGCTGATGCACTGGTTGAGGCATTTGTCGCGAGAGCACTCCACCAAGTGAGCCATGCAGGAAGCACAGCCTGCAGAGTAGCCCTTCTTGCTCATGCAGTCCTTGGTGCATGGAAAGCCTGCTGCGCAGGAGCGCCCGCATTGGTTCAGGGCCCCATCGAAGCCCTTCCTGCCTCCATGCTTCCAAACGCCCAGGTCTTTCGAGTTCGTGCAGGCACCGCCCTCCTCGCCCTCTGTCACAATCTCCTCTTCATCGACCATGTCCTCAGCAGCCTCCGCGTCGTGCAGCTTCACTCCGCGTAGCTGGTTCAGCTCCAGGCTGCAGTCACCATCTGCCGCGCACGCATCGTCCGTCTCCAGAGCCGTGTCCACCTTCTCAGACCTCACCGCTGCGAAAGCAACGAAAGCCAACAAGAGCCTCATGGCCATTGCGCAAGGTTGGCTGGCAGGAAGCGCTATCAGTTGTCCAGAGGCACTGATTGGCTGGAGCCGAACGACGAGAAAGCAAGAACTGCCACACCTGGCTTCATGCTGGATGCAGAAGTCACCTGTGACATGCAACACACACTCTGTACTTCAAGCATATGGGAAAGGCATGACATCGCGGTCACAGCCAAATAAGCCAGCAAGACTCACTGAGTCTGTCAAGGATGAGTTTGAAACAGCTCTGAGAATCTTCACTGACCTTCATTCATTCTGATCTTTCCATGCTGCTGAGTGCCAGATCACAATCACTCGACCGACAGCTTGAATCCCATCATTCAGGCACATGTTGCCCAGTCACCCACTGCAAATGCATCTTCGCGCTCCTTCTTTTCTCCCCGCAGCTTTGGAAATCTCTGAAGGTAACCAGAGCAAGTCATGACAAGCGCCATGACATGACGTCAGGACAAACATGCGTGTCGAACATGCGTGTTCGGAGGTGCAGGCATTCTTTGATGCTCTGTCTGCAGAACGGTGCTCAGTGACCACCAGCGTTCAGGCCGCTGCATTGCTTCATGCTGGGACGGCAAGATTTCTTCACACAGCCGGTGCAGGCGGAACTCTTGTCATTGCTGATGCACTGGTTGAGGCATTTGTCGCGAGAGCACTCCACCAAGTGAGCCATGCAGGAAGCACAGCCTGCAGAGTAGCCCTTCTTGCTCATGCAGTCCTTGGTGCATGGAAAGCCTGCTGCGCAGGAGCGCCCGCATTGGTTCAGGGCCCCATCGAAGCCCTTCCTGCCTCCATGCTTCCAAACGCCCAGGTCTTTCGAGTTCGTGCAGGCACCGCCCTCCTCGCCCTCTGTCACAATCTCCTCTTCATCGACCATGTCCTCAGCAGCCTCCGCGTCGTGCAGCTTCACTCCGCGTAGCTGGTTCAGCTCCAGGCTGCAGTCACCATCTGCCGCGCACGCATCGTCCGTCTCCAGAGCCGTGTCCACCTTCTCAGACCTCACCGCTGCGAAGGCAACGAAAGCCAACAAGAGCCTCATGGCCATTGCGCAAGGTTGGCTGGCAGGAAGCGCTGTCAGTTGTCCAGAGGCACTGATTGGCTGGAGCCGAACGACGAGAAAGCAAGAACTGCCACACCTGGCTTCATGCTGGATGCAGAAGTCACCTGCGCCACACGCTGTACTTCAAGCGTTTGGGAAAGGCATGACACCATGTCAGCTTACATGGGTCACAGCTTTTTCACAAGCCTTTTCATCACAGCGATCCATGCGCTAGAGAAATTGATTACACTGCTTGGCGTGGTTTTCCCCATGTCCGCTCAAAAATTCGCTCGGCAAACTCGTCTGAGGCGCTGGCTGGTGCGTCAGAGGAGCACTTTCTAACATCCCGTTGACCGGCGCGTGGGTATGCTTCAAGCTGAAAGGGGAATTCAAAAAACAAGATAAGGCGGTAGCAGGGGGGAGCGGGGCGGGGTGTCATAAGGGGATTAGGGGGTGCCACAAGGGGAGTGTCATAAAAGGGGTGTCCTCAGGTGTTCTCTTCCGCGTGTTGCCACTGTTGCCACTGCTGGACGTATGTAGCCACGGTGCTATGAGCGGTCGGCCCAACGGGCAGGAAAGGCAAGCCGTGGTCTCCAAATCAATATGAGCAGCGCCCAACGCCCATTGACTTCGGGTTCTACCAAGAACGTCAACAGCAGGCCTACATAGGGCTTAGCATACACCCCGATGAAACCGTGGTAGAACCACCTATACCAAATTGTCCAATATGCGTTTGAGACGCTTCGTATATTGGAAGCTGGCGAGTAACACCCCTGCAGGCTTCGCGCACGAATACTTTTAGGGTACCCGATCGCAAATTGTTCCAAATCTAAGGTTGCCAAAGTGACTCAGCCCAAGGCTTCTCTCTCAAAGCCAACTCAGGCGTTGGACGCCGAACAGAACACCGCCCCAGGCCCCCGGGACACTCATCCTCCGGCTTCGTGCCGCGGATCTGGCGAAAGAGAAAAGCAAATGGCAATGGTCTCAAACACATGGAACCCAACATGGCCGTGGCTCAAAAAACCGGAATTCCAAAATGGGTTGCCCTGGTAAGTGGAAACATGGACCAAGACCTGCGGCTTGCCCCTCCGATCGTTTAAAAACTTGAGCCACAGCCACATGGCACCTCAAATGGAAAGACGAAAACCTGCGTCGCGGCTCTTGAATTTTCAGCCACGCCCAACTGACCCCGGGTCCCGCCTCACGCACCGGCCGAGGGGAGCTTGCCCTGGGGCTTCAGATCCGGGTGGCTCCGGCAGAGCTTTCTTTTGGAGGATGGCAGGCTTTGTTGCATGGGTTTAAAAAGAGAAACCAGAAGGACACCAGCCATTTGGAGGGTCTTCCGGTGCCATGTGTTGTGGGACACCAGCCATTTGGAGGGGTGCCATGGTGCCATGTCTTGTGGTCTTAAAGGGAAAGCAACAGGAAAGCTCGGCCCTTTGGACGGCTTCGCAACTAAAGATGAACCGTGCAAGGCTCTCTCCGTCCAAGGCGCCGGAACTGGCTGGCCGCCTGCCTAGCGGGGGGTGGTTGGACTCGGTACCCGAAAATGTGACCTCCAAGAAAGGTGGTTCTAAGTGGTTGGACCTCCGAATTTGGGAATGAATTGGTCCAATCACTCGTAGCCCTTGCCCAAGAGCTGCAAATGAGTTTATCTTTCTTGGAGGTACCACCCTACAATGGGTGGTGGTTCCCACCCGCTTCCGTGCAAAACAACCTTAAAAGGGTGGTTCCACTAGTTTCCTTCAAAACCAACCCAAACGGGTTACACCAAGAGCGAGAGAGAGAGAGAGGGAGAAACCACCGACTCGACTGGCGCCTAGGTGGGCCCGGCACTGCAGTGAAGGAGGCGGGCTGCGACTGCGGGGCCTCCATCTTTTTCGACTCAGGTCATTCCAACCCCGGGCTTCAACTGATTTCCA